CCAAAGCCATGAGCCCTGGTGGCCAACGACCGACTAAAGACATACAAGGCAAAATAAATATTTCCTCCTTTAAATTGTTTATCTCAAGCATTTTGTTACAGAGTCTGAAAGCTAACACGGTGTTCAGTACAGGTGTATAGTTTCAGTTTTGATGTTCACTGCCAAATGGCCCTTCGAAGAATGTATCAGTGTTAAAAGTATTAAAAATATGAGCTTTATAACACACACAAAGCGTTCCAGAATAACTGATAGGACCATCAGTTTTCCACCAAGGAACTTTTTCAGATTATTTTTGCTTCATAAAATACTGCTTTTTATGACACAAATCATATTTTAAAGACATAAATTAAATATTATTGTGACCTTGCTGTGTCTAAAGAGCAAGGTTTCCTTAAGGCGTTTTATTGATTAGAAAACTTTTCTTCTGTGCTCCAACACCATTTCACTCTACTTGTAATAAATAATAGATACCAAAGTATTTATAATAAATAAGGTGGGGCCTTTTATAATTAGTCATAAAAGAATAAATATATTTTCATGTTGCAGAGAGTTCACCCCTTAGGCGGATATTCCTTCAAATGCAAGCTGCATTTCCTTGGAGAAAACATTATTTAAACCACACAGAGGCAACGCTCTTTTTGAGAAAAATTGTGTTATCACGCAAAATATTGTTAAAACTACAGAGCACCACAAATAATCACTTAAAGCTTAAAGACTTGGTTAAGCTGTAATTTCATAGTCGCACATCATGTAATTATTATGTTAGGACAGATTTATTGTTCTGTTTTGTGCTTTGCTTTATTTTTTGTTTGTTTGTTTGTTTTTGTGGTGCTGGGGATTGAAGCCAGGGCTTTCCCAATGAGCTGCACCCTTTCTTTAAAATTTTTATTTTGATACAGACTCTCCATAAGGCACTAAGTGAGCTAGTTTAGTTCAAGCCTGTAACCCTCCGCCCTCAGCCTCCCCGAGTGTGGAAATTGCGGGTGTGCACCACCACGCCTGGCGAGGGACTAGAGAATTTTTTATTTGAAAAGTGGCCACAACTTTGTGACCTTTCAAATCAATACCCTGAAGTCTAAGAGGCGACTTTCCTGAAGGAGCTGGCAATGCTCTTCCCAAAGACTTACTAAAGATTCACTTAAGGATATTTTGCCTCCAAACAGGCTCGAGCCAGTGTTTATACAAATTCATGGAAGACTTAGCTAGTGCGATAGCAAGTTCCTACCAAATTTTTCATAAACGCAGGATAATTTATCCAACGCAGTGAGACTTACAAAAGATCTGATTTAAAAATTTAGAAAAGCAAATTTCTTTTTGCTTCTTTCTCTTTACACTTTCCATTCTTCTTGATTATAAATATTTGAGTTCCTAAAGAAATTACCTTTTATATTTTTATCTTCTAGCAGTCTTCATAGAAGAAATAGACTAATTGAAAGTAAAATTGAGATATTGGACTTTAAAATAAAGATTGAAAATACATAGTCTAAATATCTTCTCCCGTGACTCCATCTGTGGTAGAAATGTAAAAATAGCTCATTTGGATGAGACTAGAAACGTTATTTATGACAAATCAGAGAAAGCAGCTACTGAACTCATCTCTCACTTGAGTGGAATGTTCTGCCAGTCTATGGCAAGTCCGCGTTTTTCAGTCTAATTTTTCATTTTAAAAATACTCAAGAGCAGGTAGATGTCTAGGAGGGGCCCTCATCTGCACCACTGATCACCTTAACTCCATGTGAATCAGCAGGCTGAGGAGTTTAATTGGGATAAATGGAGCAAGTGAAAGACCAATGAACCGGTGAGTTTTCATGTGTGTACTGAGAGAGGCTCCTAGGTGGCTACCAAGTGAGCTGATACCGCCCAGAACTGTTTTAGAAGTTGTCCTTTGTGTTCTTTAAATGATTGCCACAATCTATTAAAATACACAAGAATCCACTCCTAAGATGTTAGTCCCAAATGGATTATAACGGAGGTGGTTCAGCATAGCATCCTGGCACAGTACCCTCTTTAGAACCTAAGTGTTTAGATAAGAGCAGACTGGAAAACAGGACATCAATCTTTGAGCTAGACAGTCAGTGGGCCTCAGGCAAGCAATTCACTTACCTCTGTGTGTCTTAGTTTGCTCCCTGGACAGACCAGTTGACTGAATAACAAAGACCCAATTAGATACGACTGGGTAGAAGTACAAAGGAGAAAGAACATTTTAAAATACTTTAAAATTTAAAATATGATGCACAAATTCAAAATAGTAAGTGTATCTCATAAAATAAACCACAACAATTATAAAATTATGCATCAAATACTATATGCTGAATTTTTAGATAAGTCACATACCTTTATCAATATCTGTTGCCAAATGTGTTTGGTTTTGTAGTGGCATAGTATTCATTTGGGGTTCCTGAAAATTGTTACCCTGCATAAACTTTGCTTTGAAAATAGCATTAAATAGTCAACTGGAGTTAATGAACTTCTAGATATGCACCTAAGCTCAACTTAGATTTTTTCAAGAAAAAAATCTCTTGCACATGGAAAATCACTGGGCTGACGATTTCTTAGTTTCCTAAAGTGGACATAGCTTGTACCATTGTAAATGAAAAGGAGAAAAAACCTCACAATACAATAAGTACCTTAGAACATTAGGTCTCTTTTCTGTCATACACACCAATAGAGAAATACTGCTAAGAGAAAGACCTCGTATGTATGCAAACAGTAATTCAAAGCCCTTTGGTGTAGCATTGCTAGTAATAACAAAAGAAAAATGGAAATGGCCTAACTGCCCACCAAAAGTTTATGGCTATTTTAAAAAGGAGCCAGCCTCTGACTTCTATTTGGCCAAAAATGAGTCACAAGATTTCTATTTGAGTAGTTTCAAAGTCGTCTTCATTGTATGTGCTTTGACCGCTTGACAATCTTTGACCTGCTACTTCTGACAAAATCCAAAATCCTAGACTTGGGCTGCAATGGATGGGTGAGGCTTGGGAGGGGAAGAAGACAGAGGAGGGGAATCAGTTTGCAGGGTGAGAAGACGGAGTGTGTATGAAGGCCAGAGGCAGAAAGGGGAAGATAGTCAGACAGTGAAGCCAGTGACTCGTGAGGAGAGCGCTAAACCGGAAGACGTCTGTGATTCTTTGGGATATTTAGGGTGTGTGCCCAGGGCCAAGGTGGGTGGAGAAGTCACAGCCCAGGTGGTCATGAAGGAGTTGAGTCCAGATGGGCAAAGGTCCATGAGGCAGACGAATCTGAACCAGCAGAGCCAAGACTTTAAGGTGGAAGGCACCATGAAATCGAAGACAGGCAGCCTCAGGGGCACCAAGCTCTCAGCCTAGATATGGGGGGACTTTGTGACTGAAAGATCTGACCGCTAATCCCAGGGTAGCAATGAGTTCAGACCTATGGCTGGGGGCAGGGGGACTGCTTTCTTCCCTGTACCAAGGGTGTGAATTGTCTCGCAGGATAAGACAAGGAGGAGGCCAGAGAAAGCAGAGGGGAGTGAAGGTGGGTCCAGGCAGGCATTGGGTTAGGCTGCACACTTTCTGGATCTGGAAGCCCTAATGTCCCCATCATTCAGTAGGAGTTATTGAGCTTCTACTGGGCATTGGGCACCGGGCTATATTTAAAAACATAAAAGTAAGACATCTATCTTAGGCGCTATCATAACAGAATAAATCAGGGCATATAAAGAAACAGTAACAATGCACAGTGAGCACAGCCCCACAAAGGGACAATCCAAGTGTGAGAGAGGGTGGGGGGCTGGGGTGGGAGGGTCACCCAGGAAAGGCTGTACAGAAGAATGCATGCTTTTTAAAGGACACCATGGCAAATGGCTGAGTTCGTTTAATAGATGGTGAGTAGAGATGCAGAGACCTGATGAAAACATATTTTAGTAACTCTAAATTCATATCATATGGCCAGAAATTTTGGTACATGACAGAGTAAGACATGAAGCAGCCAGAGCAGTGAGCGAGATATGTGTTCCTAGTCCAGACCAAGAAGGACTTGCTCTTCTACATTAAAGAGTTAGGAGTGTGTCCAGGTGTCCAATGGGGAACTCCAGAAAGAGCTTAAGCAAAGGAGAGATTTGATCATGTTTGCACTTTAGAAATATCCCCCTGAGCGTCACTGAGCGGAGTGGGAACTGCCCTTTGCACACTCTCGGGGTTGGTTCCAGTTTCCTCTGCAGATGTATTTCCTACTGCTCCACCAACACACACCTCTCAGCAAGGTCTGTTGGTGCCGCGTCCGCACTGTTCATAGTGTTGGTGGTCATCACCCATCTCGGCTCTGTTCACAGGGCTTAAATAAGGGCGCAGACTGCGGAGACAGACCCCATCCTTTCTATACAGAGACCCTGGCATCTCTGTATACTGGTTTCATCATGTACAATCAGGTAGAAACAGTTACTGTCTTACATGGTTCCTGTGAGCATTAAATAGGTTTAATCTGTAAAGTGCCCAGAAAAAGATCCGGCACAGGCATTAACACTGAATAGAAAAATAGAAGGTAACTATTTTAATTCTCCTCTACACATCCAAAGATCTGTTTGACATACTCAATTTAAATCCCATCGCCTTTTGAAAACTTGCTAGACTTTTGTGAACTCTGATGGTTTTTTATTCCATATTAATATGTGAAACACTATACACATATTTATATTTATGTTATGATACTGTTTTCTATGATTCACTGATTTTATAGTTCAAATTTGACTTCCCAACTCAACTGTAAGTACTTTAAGAACACAGACTATTTCATTCTGGACTATCTCTTTACTCATATAGTACACAAGTGATACATAATATTGATTCAACTTGTCATTCTACAGAAGAACCACAAATGTGAATGGAATATGTTTAAATTATATTCATTGTCTAAGGTCTGAAGCTCCACATCTTTGAGAATTATTCACTACTAATAAATGTTCTACATTAAAAATAAAGTGCTGTGCTTTATAAAATTTTGATGTAAGATTCTAACTCTCAACGAATCTTCTTTATTTAAAGATGGGACATCTCGGGAGCTGTCATTGGTACAGAATGCGGAACAATAGAATCAGGTTTATCAATGGTCTTCCTCAAAGATGGAGAGAGGAAATTATGCACTCCGTACATGGACACTACTGGTTTTGGGAACCTGCGGTTCTACTTCGTCATGGGTAGGTACCTGCTGACCCTGGGGACGGTTCCAGCACCTGTTTCTGAGGAGATGTAATCATTTGTGCTCATCTCTACTTCAGACCAACCATGCCGACGCCATCTTGGGAGCACAGGGCACGGTATGCAGTGACTAGGCCCAAAGACAAAGAAACCAGAAAAACCTTTCTTCCTTCTCACCCTCCTAACTGAAAACACAATGGGACAATGGGACCGAGGCTGAGAGAAAAACTCCTTCTTTGTCCATAGTTTGTAACTTCACCAAGAGAGTCCTCACTCAGGCTGGGTCATTCACTGTCATTGGTGCTGTCACTGCCTCACATTCCTGCTGTGGGAAAATAAGGAAGTAACAGGTTTATAACACTTTCCTGTGCTTTAACAAAACTCTGCTTGCTGTTTGCAAACACATAAAAAAAGAGAAGCGTTCTTAAGATATGTTTTGCTTCAAATCTGTGTTAGAAAAATACCCAAAAGTGGAAGCTGAAATGTGTAACCTCCCAAATTTATCATGCTAATCAGCACGAGCGATGGGGACATAGTCATTCACTGGTGTCATCCCAGAAATGTGCGCAGGGTCACAGGGCTCTCTGTTGAGTGACTGGAAAGGCACAGGCAACATCTGGAAGCAAAACAGGAAAAAACACCGTCTACCTTTGAACCCACCAGCAAGAGTGGCAGGCTCTCAGGACAAACAGGTTCCTGTCTGACGTCACAGCACAGGCCGTGTCATGCGAATGGTCCATGTGAGGCCGTGAGCCTCATCTCCAGTCGTGCTCTGTTCAGAGCAGAGAAGTCTCAAATGTAAAATGATGCCTTGTCACAGGGAGGAAGATTCTCACCTTGACCTTGAAATCGTTTATGTGTGTGAAAGGCCCCAAACTCATTTCCTTCAATGAATTAATATTCAGACTGTCAAAAGTGGTTCCTGGAAAACCTTAAACAGAAATTTATAAAAATTTGAAATTTTTTCTCTTTTCCCTTTTTCTGACACAATATATTTGAATCTTGATTTTTTTTAGTAGTAAATCAGCCCAGTTGAATATGTTTACATAAGGGCAAATCATCAATGTGTCTTTATATATGAAATGTTAAGTCATATTTAATTCTTTCTGGAGCAAAAAAAATGCATTAATTAATGAATTAAAATACTATTAATTAATGAATTAAAATACCTCGTATAAGGTATGAATTAAAAAACTAAATTGAATGAGACCAAAGAAGCACGTTATCCCAAAATAAAAGAATCTTTATTCAATTAAAAGTCAGAAATATCTGTTGAAATAGAGCCGTAAGCCAAGTCATATGAAGAATACAACTGGGAGCAGGAAACTAAGTCACACTAAAGCACAGAGCGCTGTTGGTCAAATGAGTCAATGCCAGCAGAACGTGCAGGACGGTGCCTAGTAATTAGGCATCTGTCCCTCGATGGCATAGGGTTAGACAAGGCGCTCTCCCACACAACCTCTGACGGTGACCAGGAAGATGCCACATGCTGTACCGGAAGGAAAGTGCCATGAAGGGCGCAGAAAGCGACGGGCAGTCACAGGGAGGAGGGTGAAGTCTGTGAAAGAGCTTGCCTTTGAACTCAGCCTAGAAAGCTGGGCATGGTGTGCATTTTTAGGAACAGGAGAATTCCAAATTAATCCATTAGAGGATGGGGAGGCACTAAAAATAAACATACATGATATTTGGGGGGCCTGCTGATTTTCCCAGTATAGCTGAATGGAAGATCTTAAGATGGTGCTAGGAAAGAGAATTGGAGCCACAGTGGTGATTTTCTTTAATCATACACTGGAATTTTGTCCACTTACTCTAAGAAATGTGAGCCATCAGAGGATTCCTGTTCTGTAATATCATTTGTGTTTTAGAAAGATAATTGTAGGATGCATATAAAAAGATTAAAATAATCAAGCAGGAAAACACATTCCAGTTAAGCTTGCATTTCAGAGAAACAGTTAAGGTTGTGTGTCAAACCTTTCTGTGCAGTACAAGTTATCTGACCCCCAACTTAGGGGCTGCAGTACCAGACCAAACAGAAGCACTTGAGGAAGTGGTGGAGGTAAATGCAGGAGGGCACAGAGGTGGCACTGCTGGGGGTGTGGAAGCACTGATGTCAGCACTCACTTGGCTTGGGGGTTATGCTAGTGGCTTTGGAGAAGACACAGATTTCTCTTCTAGGTGATGGGAAAGGTGATGTCATTTCCTCAACGAGAAAATGGTAAAAAATGATGCAAGCGTGGAGCAGATTTTGATAGTATATATGTTACCTCTGAGGCTCCTAGAATGCCATGTGAAGACAGAACTTTGAGTCAGCGTTTGAGTCTGATTTGAATATTACCATATGTAGGTGTTCGGAGTTGAAAGTGTCCTATTATGTGACAGTTCTTAGAGAGAACCCTCATCTAGATGCTGCTTGGAAAGACAGAGTAGGCAGAAAGGAGGGGTACAGGGGAGATAGAAAGGAAGAATTGGGGGTGGTGGGAGGAAGGTATCCTTTGACCTGGAAGAGGACGGAAGAAATGGATCAGGTTAAGATGACAGGAAAGTGACCTCTGGTGTGGGAAGTACCACAGAAGAAAGTCCACCCAGGGCAAATCTAAGAGGTAAGGACTTTGAGAGAGCATTGCAGAGGGTGATGTCTGGGACTCCGAGGTACGTGAATCTAAAAATGAGGGACACCTGGCTCTGAAATAGGTTTCCTTCTTCAAGAAGGGCATCAGTAGAGATAAAGAAATTGGGTGCATGGGCCGGAGGTTTAGCTCAGTGTGTAAGTGCCTACATGGCAAGCACAAGGTCTTGAGTTCAATCCCCAGTATCAAAAAAAGATAGGTGTTTATGTGGAGGAAGCAGCTGCATCCAGGGAAGGATTTTTGTTTTTGGATAGGATAAGACCATTCCTATAAAAAAGACCTTAAAACTGTAATACCTGGTGGGAAAGAGATTTAAGGTAAGATAGTTTGTAAATGACCCTCACTGAATATTGCCCTTTAGGAAAATTGGTGTCCAGCTGTTCAACTACATAAGATATTCTCTCCCTCTCAATCCCTGTCTGTGGTATCTTCTATCTTTGGTTCATAAATTCTGTAACTATCATTTCTGGAAAACTTGAGCTCTTTTCAAAACTTCTGTCAAAGTCTGTTTTCTTTACTCTTACATTTATTTATCCAATATAAATTGAAGACCAGTTTGCAGCACTGCTTGTCAAGTCAGAATGCAGGAAACAAAACAAAATTACTGAATAGACACCATTCCTTCATCCTTACTGAGCATCTACTGTGTGCCCTGTTCTTTTACCTCAGACTTGTATCTTTTTTCTTTAAATCTTCACTGAGTTTATAACAGTACAATATAGTACAATGCTAATTATCATTATTTCATATAAGTAGTCCTCTCTATCAATAGAGAATATGTTCAAAGACCTCCAGTAGTTACCATAAATCATAGATAGTACTTTGTCCTTTACATGTTGCAGAATTCAAATGACCAGAGAAGCCAAAGGAAAATCTGGATGATCCATTTTTTTAGATGTACACCTGGCTCAGAGGACTTCTGTCCAAAAGTGCTAAGTGCTAAACAGAGGAAGGGCTAAAGTTGTATGTATGTTACCAAGGTGGCTGGTCTTTGGTGTGGAACTTGTGGTGAGCAGGAGAACAAAGGCAGATTGTCAGGCTGTGACAGTTTTGTAGCATATTTTGGTGGCCCTGCCTGGGCATAACAGGATATTATAGGGTCAAGAGGTTTTAAAATTTTACTTACAGGGACACAGGTTACTGTATTAGAACAAAGAACAACAGCTGTAGGGTGGGGGATGTTTGGGAAACTCAACTCCTCTTTAAGTCCTGTTTACTATATACTATTTAAGATACATACATATAATGTATATGTAATATATATATATCTATGAAACAGGTTGATATATGAAAAAGATCTTACCAGCAATAATATTAGCATTTATTAATTTCAATAAAGGTTGCTTGAATGTGGTCTCTTTTTAAGAGGGAAGGGAAATGTTAATTTGTATGGACCGTGGTTGACTGTAACTAATCATAGAAAGCAAAACTCCAGATCAGGGACAACCGCGTCCTGGTCTTGTTTTCTATGCTCAGTTACAAACCTTTTGAAGCCAAGGTGCATTTCCCTTTCTAGCCCAGTGACCTGGAAATAGTAAAAATTCAACAGAATCACTTTCTTGATATGAATAAGGATCATTAGCGCTTCTTAGAACAGTATTTAAAATAACTTTAAAACTGCCCGTTCATCTAGCTCTCGTTGAAACCTTCCTCTGCCTTCGTTGCTGTAAAAGACAGGCCTGGAGTCCCAATTTCCACAAAGCATCGAGGGCTACCAAGTTAGAGAAGAAGCCACTTCTTCCGTAGAAGCTGCTGTTAGGGAAACTTCACGGAATTGATAAATCACCCCTGCAGGGTCTTTTAGATAAAGTTTGTCACTGCATTAATGTTTTGGCTTCTTCTGGGCTTTCTTCTGCCATTCAGGGCTGGACATGCCCCCATGCGTGTTTCTGTCTGTTCTCTCTGAAAACAGAAGCAGTTCAAGGCCTGGGCTTTGAAGAGCAGGAAGGGTACAGGGAGCGAGCTAGTGCAGTGACAGAGAACACAGTCTGATCCTACGTCTTTAGGTGCAGTGCCTGACTCCTCCAGCTGTTTCCTTTCGCCTTTTCAGTCCTCTTTGATATGTGCTCAGCGCTCAGATAAAAAATAAAAAGGCAATTTTGGTTGTCCCCAGGATCTTTCCCCCAGAGACCATCATTTATGATGGCTTTACCAGCTCTATGTATACACTGATGCATGTAATGAAATGCTCAAAAATATTATATAAATGTCAGAGAGCATAAAATGTTTCTCTACAAGTTGTTAACCTTGAACAGTAAGCATCCACTGGGATGAGATTTACATCATCGCTGTATCTGAATTCTCTGCTCCCAGTTCAGATTACTTAATCTGTAAATATTTATTATATGCCAGTTTGCATGTGCTTAACATATGTAAGAGGCCAAAGTTCAGTGCTTTACAAATACTATCCGCAAGACTTCCCTATAATAATATAGGTTTAAAGTCTAAAAGAAGAACATTAGATACAGACTTCCCTTTGAGACTCTAAGCACTTTGTACAGCCTTGTACAGCCTCGGTTTCACTTGGCAAAGTGGGAACTTGTTATTACTTACATGAAAATGTTATTAAGAAATGAGAAAATATGCTGCTATGTAATTTTACCTGATGCATGACAGATAGTAAGTGTTAATGAGATTAGTCAGTGTTAGTCTATGTTATGAGCATAATAGTGAATAGAAGATCAAAAGTTTAAACTATAACACCTGCCCATGGTTAATTTATTTTGTATTTCAAGTACTTTGTTATTTAATTTCATTATGAGGATAATCTTACTTACCTTTCAGCTCTAAGGGTACATCATTCATGTGATGATAATGTAGTAGGGATAAACTACTGTACCTATCTCCCAGCAATCAAATGAGGCACCAAACAGAAATGTAAAATGAATTGCATTTAAAATATAAGTATATATGCTACAAAACTACAGCCACGTTTGCAGCAGTTTGAATTACATCATGTCAGAAGTCTCTGATGCAGCCGTCACCAGTCTTTTTAAAAACCATAATCAATAGGTCTTGAACTTTGATCATAAAGCTCTCAAATATTACAGTGTGATGATTTATTTTAAAAAGCAGAACACATGTTTTGAACATGGATTGAAACAGGGAGATGTAATTACTTCTCAGTGTAGACCATTATTTGAATAACCTTATCCAAAATTTACTTTGGGCTTCTCAAATATCAAATCTTTGATGATTAACATGGTCCATCTGTGTTATCTTCATAATTTCCTTTGATATGATTACTTTTGTTTAGGTTACTCTTAAATGACATCTGCATAGCATGATTATTTCTTATTGTGAAGTCTAACATGGGATTTGCTGTTTTGGGTGCAAATTTTTGCTAACAACAGGAAATTTTTGTTTGGTGCAGGAGGAATTTGTGACCCTGGAGAGTCTCATGAAAATGATGTTATCTTGTATGCAAAGACTGAGGGAAGAAAAGAGCACATTGCCCTGGACACCCTTTCTTATTCCTCGTATAAGGTATGAACGCCAGTCCTTGCCACACATGACCTGCCTAGAATTCCAGAGAAAACTGAAGTCAAAACCAGGAAGACCATTCCACATGCGGGGCATAAATACCTTTTCTGGCAGCCCAAGAAATTGCCAGGTTTTTAAAAAATGGACAGATATTTTAACATTCATTTTTACTTCTGATACAAATAAAAAATCAGGTTTTGTCAGAAACGATGAATTACAGTCCATCAACAACAATAAAGCAGAACCCAACACCCTGACGGACAGGATGAATATTTGTCCAACATTTTGAGATTTCCCAGACAGAAAACATCGTAGCAATACAGAAATTGTTATCTTCGCATTTTGCTCTTAGTATAGAGCTACTGAGGTTGACCTTTATCCTTTGCCCTTTGAATATAGGACACGTGTTGACTGTGATAATTCGTAAACATCCTCAAAACCATGTGAGATGCTTGCCATAGATACAAAACTTTATTAGATTTATCTGGACCGAAGCTCTACTCATACCCTCGTTATGAGTTCGCTTTCTCCCCATATGGATGGCAACCCAGATACTTTAAAGAGTTTAAGCACAGCCAAGTAGGAAACAACCACAGACACTCCAAGCTGGATGCCCATGCAAAGGTAGCCCAGTGTGCACCACCTGAGACTTCACAGTGGGCTGCTTCTCCAGCAGCAGGTCGGTGGGGTTGCACTCAGACCAAACCAGTTAATTAAGCTATGATGCATTAATGTGTTAATTAAGGCTCTCGCTGCCTCTCCTTAGAATCCTGTTTTCAGGATACAGAGTCCGGAAAACTGCTAATATGACACAAATATACTTTTTAAAATACCAATTTTAAAAATACTGAATCAAGGGAATGTCTAGTTGCTTATGTCTTTACTTAGTTAAGTGGCCTGGATGCACATACCTGCATAACTTTGAAAGACCTTAGGCCAGTTTCTCTTCAAGCAGAGAGAGGCTGATCAGCCACACACTGGAGCCCCTCCTGTCCCCAAGGGAGACATCCTGAGTCATTAAGACTAATGCTCTTTTAGGGTAGCGTCTTCTACATGAGGAAGCACAGAGAACAGAGGGACCTTGCCTGGTACTCAATAAATAGCAGTTATCTATTTAGTGATTGTGGGGAGAAAAGAGCACATCGAAGGAGGCAGAATCTAGTAGAATTCACCCTGACTCACACAGGAAGGGCTCTGAGTGATTTTGCTTTTCTTTCTTTGGAAGGTCCCATCTTTGGTTTCTGTGGTCATCAACCCTGAACTTCAGACTCCTGCTACTAAATTTTGTCTTAGACAAAAGAACCATCAAGGACATAATCGGAACGTCTGGGCTGTAGATTTTTTCCATGTCTTGCCTGTCCTCCCTTCTACAATGTCTCACATGATACAGTTTTCCATTAATCTGGGATGTGGAACACATCAACCTGGTAACAGGTAAGGAGCTCTATTTTGCGAGTGTACAACCTAATTAAAGTGAACACACACATGGACTTGGCTACTAAATCAGAGAGAACATCTCAATATATTTTAATCTAGATTTAAAAATCCTTTATTAAAATATGTGTTTTCCCCAAAAGAAAAGTCCTTCGGTGATTATATAGGGTATGACTGGGCAGATGTTAAACCACAATGATTTCTCTCTAAAAGCTCAGCCCTAAGTCCCGGAGGTGTTTGCAGGGGCTGTGATGGTCCTCTGCTGCAGCAGGTTACTCAGAGAGAAAAAATAACTGGAAGAAAGCATGACCTCATGTCGCCTAGTGACCCCCTAATAATAGGCATGGAAATCAATTAGCACTTCCAGAGCTATGACTTCTCAGCTTTACTTGCGAAGTGTTGCTGGATCCTTTCTAAGACTTTTGTCATCTGCATTCACAGGGTGAAGTGACAGTGTGAGACATGGTAATTGTCTTGCCATCTATCAGATTTAGGGTCACAAACCCCAGTCGCCATTTGTTGTCTTTCAAACATAGCTTGTTTTATAGCAGTAATGTAACCACTTGCCCTTTGAAGGCTGGTTGGACTTCTGGGAAAGAGGAAGCAATCATTTAGGAAATGCTGGCGGAAGGAAACTTCACACTAGACTACAGATGCTTAATGCGTTAGGCAGAGATGAAACCATATTTTTACGTGTTGTCTTCGCCCTTTTTCTCATTGCGCTCATCCCTGTGCCATGAAGTGTCAGCTTAGAGTTTTCCACCAACCGCGGGCGTTCCTGGTCCCTCCTCCACACCGAGTGCTTGCCTGAAGTCTGTGCTGGCCCCCACCTGCCCCACAGCACCGTCTACTCCTCTGAAAACTACAGCGGGTGAGTAGACGCTCCAAGCTGGCCAAAGATGTGGATTCCTGTGATTGATGAGGATCCTGAGAAGAGTGGGTTTTTCCACAATAATGAGGACTCTGACTTCTCAACAGGATGTTGTTTTCTTTAAAAGACAATACTTTGGCTAAATCTGATACAGGACCACAATTCATCAGGTCACTCGTTCTTTATATTCGTGATTCGTATTTTGAATTCTGGGAATGTGAACTGTGTGTGTGATGGCCCTGTGGTTATTACTAGAGAAGTAGAGGAAAAGAAAGTTTTGGGATTAGATCCAGTTCAGATCTTAATCTGCCATCTACTATCTGTGCAATATTTATTCTCTCTTATTTTTCACTTCTTTCCCCATGAACTTAGGAAAATAATAATGTTATAGAATTAAAGATGGCTATTTAAAATGCTTGCCATTTTATAGAATATGCACTAGGTGTAAAGTGAGAATATTTGCAAAGACAACAAAATTAATTTGGAAATTTTTTTTTTACTTAAAATCTTGTTAGATGTGCGAAAGACCAAGGGTAGCAAAAAGTCTGAAAGTAATTAATGTTTATTGGCACCCCAGTTCTTCACAGATGCTTCCTTCAGAATAACACCTGAAGTGGAACCTAATTTCAGTGATATCCCATACATACCTGTAGCAAAACATTACTTGGTACCCCATTAACATGTGTATTTTTGGACTTTTATATGTCACTATAAAAATAGATTCTAAGACAAAACTGCTAAAAAATTTTAAAAGAATATCTAAAATAAGTAAATATCACTTACTACTAAGAATAAGCATGATAAAGGTGTTTGTGCAGGTTGTGTCTGTCTTGATACTATGAGCAAACTCCTTTGTGAGTGTAAACAGTATACTGACAAACTTTAGTGCTATTACCACCCACAGAATTCAGATCATCACAAGCATATAAAATGGATCCAAAAGATGTGAACATAAGCCAGGTTTGGTGGCCCACGCTCATAATCCCTGCTATTCTCTGGGCTGAGGCAGGAGAATGGTTAGTTGCAGGTTAGTTTAAGAAATATAGCAAAATTAAAAAAAAAAAAAAAAAAAAAAAAAAAAAAAAAAAAACCAGGCTGAGAATGCAGCTCAGTAGCCGGTATTTGCTTGGCACATGGAAGGCCCTGGGTTGAACCTGCTGTGTACTGCAAAGGAAAAACAAAAAGGCACGTGAACATAACTGTGAAGCTGGTTTTGTGCCTAATTTCTTGCAGGTGGAACCGAATCACGATTCCCCTCCCTAACGCGGCACTAACCCGAGACACCAGGATTCGCTGGAGACAAACGGGACCGATCCTTGGAAACATGTGGGCAATTGATAACGGTTAGTGTTTGTGCCTGTCATAATCACATGCCATTGATGCAGAGACTGCCTGTGCTTTTGTGTGTCAGCACAGACTTAATCACATTCCCAAGTCATGGTCTTGCGAATCATTAAAGACCCTTTCTTCCCCTTCTCCTTTGCATTCCACAAGAAGCCCAGGATGTGCAATCAGAAAAAAATCAGGCGGTGTAGTCAGCAATATTAGATGCTAGAATGTTCCAGCATACATAATTCTAAAATGCTTAAAACTCTGCAACCCACATTCACAGCTGATGACAAGGGATATCCTAACATTTTCTTTGAATGTTTTATGCAAAATTAACATAAATACCATCCTGTATGTATTAAAATAAGACCCATTCTTCTCTTGGTAACTGCTACAACATCTGGAAGGCTTATCTTTGAGATGCAGACGCTACACAGAAGGAAATGTCATCTCTGAAATACTACTGAAACTTCTATTCCTTTTCAGAAAATAATATAAAAGTAAAATGTGGATTTACATAAATTTTTTCAGTGAATTATTGATAATTTCTTGCATCATTTTATAGCCAATATCACTTATGACAAATGCACAATGAGAGAAGAGATTTTATACTATGGAGTTACATGACTGTAAATTTCCTATGGTTGTTATTAATAGCCAACTCTCTTTATATGGATTTATATTCTAATTACAGATAAATTTGTAGATTTTCTATGTTTCGAATGTATACATTTCACTGAAGGTTTACACTAGAAGGAAAGGTAGAGGAGAAGGAGAAAAAAGGGAAAGAAGGATGTAATCTGAATAATTAGCCAGGTTAGGTGACACACACCTGTAATTCCACCCACTGAGGAGCCTGAGGCAGAGGGAGAGAAAGTCCTAGCTCAGCCTGAGGAACTTAGAGACCCTGTCTCAAAATGGAAAAAAAATAAAGTTTTTAAAAGGACCAGGGATGTAGAGCGCTTTCTTAGAATTTGTCAGGCACTGGATTCAGTTCCCAGTACCAAAAAAGAAAAAGGCAGTACTTCAGCAAAGTTAGCATGGCACTATGATAGAATAGAACAAACCTACACCAGTGGTCAATTTTCATATGAGAATTTCCTTTCTGTTACTTTTTAATAATTTAAACATTGAGAAGCTAATATCAAAGTTTTTGAAATTTGGGAGAAAAGGGACACTATATAATTTATCCATAAACCAATATGAATTACTTAACAATCTATGTTCAAAGAAGACCAATATAAGACCCACACTTCAAAGATCACATAAGTCGTAGGTACATACACGTGGTGCATTTGCAAAAATATCTGAAGTTAAATGAAGTTTCCCCATTGATAGATGATTTTGCATAACATTTTAATTATGGCATCTGCTGATGAGCTCAAGGGATTAAGTGTGTGCATCTGAGCAGTAGCGTAAATGGGCTTTTCTTTCATAATTTTCAAGGGCCCTAAATGCACCTTTATTAGTAATCACAAAATAGTAAAAATGAACCAAACTACACAAGGTAGTTAAATGTGCAATGAAACACATCTGTGCATATGAAAAGATTCCCAGAAACTACTAAAGAATGATTTTGGGTCACTGTCTTAGTTACTTTTCTCACTGCTGGGACAAAATACTCAATACACACGAGTTAAAGGAGGAGAGATTTATTTCAGCTCGTAGTTTGTAGTGGTTTCAGTCAATAGTCAGTGGGCTCCAAAGAGGGTGGTGTGGCAGAGGGCTTGGCAGAGGAGAAACAGTTCATGGCATAGCAGGGCAGGCAGAAGCCAGTGAGCACCAAGCAGCAAGCCTCTTATCCCATCCAGACTACAAGACTTTGAGGTGGTGCCACCCACACCCAAAAGCATGCTAAGCCAATCAGTAGGCTAATTTAACTATCACACTCTTAATCCATATTCAAGCATTCAGCTACCTCCGAAAAACCCCACCTATGAGTGCGTGCAGCTTTGAGGGTGACATCCAGATATAAGCCGTAGCAGTCAGAAAGTGTTTGGCACACATCTCTGAGTTCCTGCCGTCATGCTTTGAGTACAGTGGGAAAAGGTTCAGAAGCAGAGATTGCACATGGTTACCAGCATGTGCTGAAGGCACATGGGGACAGGAAGGGACGGAATCTCCTTAAATCTGTTATCATTGTGTGTGCGGTTTTCACAAAAATAGGCTTCTTTTTGGACACATACGCCTTCTCAAGGCAGGAAAGGACAGGAAAAGGACACATATGCCTTCTCAAGAAAAATGTGTGCTAATTGTGCCCCCCGAAGTCTCCCCAACTTCGCTATGGAATTTGAGAATTATGGAGGAAATACAATTATAGAATTTTATAGAGATGTATAAACTCATATATAAAGTTTCTTTATGGGAAAAGAAACACAGAGGGGAAGAAAGGACCAGTGTCATCATTCCATTAGATGAGTTATCCTGAAAAATCTTAGCAAAATGGAAATTCCCAAAGAAAATAATGATTTCTATCATGTTTTTATTTTTCCAACTGTATTGTACTAATGATGAGGGTGAAGGAAATGAATCTGCTTTACCTTGGGGAAAATGATCTTGTTCATACTGAGTCCTCACTTACTCATACTGTGAGTCCTTAAGTGCTCCGTCATTAGTACAGAAAGATGACTAAAGTCTTGACTGCTATTTTTTTTTCACTGACTTGGAAAATCTGTTGTTGAATGTTTTTTATGATGAACCATGACAGGAGCAGTCTCCAGAGTTACAGTGAGGAGTGCAGGCTGCCTCTTACAGTACCTGGAGGTACCCTGGCATCCATAAAATCAAATGTGCTGTGAAGGAAACTTAGATGTTTATCCTGGCTAAAGAAGAGTGGGCCACTTTCTAATTCCCCAGCATTTGTTGTACAGTGGAACCCATGGAGACAATAGGTAGGACGGTAGTGATGGCCACACTACCCTCTGGTATGGTGTTAAACATTATAACTATATGGTGCCAGGCGTCATCTGTGTTCCCCTCTTGTCCATCTCTGGGACAAAACACCTGAAACTCAAAGGAAGAGACGTTTTGGCTTATCATTTCAGAAGGTACAGTTCAGGTATGATAAGCTGTCTCCAAAGCAGAAAGAACAGGATTAGACTGCATGGCAGAAGAAAACCACTCAACCCATGGCATCCAGGGGTCCCAGCCAGGGAGAAGGGAGGAGCCAGGGACAAGAATGTGCCCTTCCTAGCATGTCCACAGTGGCCTCCTGCTTTCACAAGCTCCCATCCCCTAACGCCACACACGCAGCATTAGCTCATGAGTGAACAAATCCACTGGTGAGCACAGTGCCCCAGCGACCCAATCCCTCCCACCACCTCTGAACGTGTAAGACTCCCGGGGGGTTTTCAGATCTAACCCACGGCACGTGCTAAGGATGGCATATGCTTTTTTTCCAAGGAATATTATTATCCCACTTTAAAGAACAGGGATATTGAGGGTTATTACTTATCCAGAGTTTCCCAAGTGAAGCCAGAATATATATCTAGAGTCGTCTGACATCTATAGCCAGTATCTTTAACCAGGCAGCTACCTAATCTCTTCTTCGCCAGCGGTTTCTTTCAGTCATAGTTTTGTCATTGGCTTGCTTTACATGACATCTGAATTTCTATTCCTATCAGTTGGCTGCAGAGATTATGTGCTTCTAGGAACATAAGCCATGGGAGAGTTTATTTTAAAATAGGATTATTTAAATATTTTGACATGATTATAGGACTGAAAAGAAAGTGACAATGAGCAATAAATTTGTTTATGCCTGACATGAAATAGATGAGTTCTTAATAACTCTAGTCCTTGGTTTTGACTGATTTATACACTATTTCATGTTTTATCAAATGTGCTGATTACAAAAAAGGCTTAATATTTTTAAATGAACTGGAGTCTGAGTATCTCAGAACTTACCATTTGAGCCCTTTTTTTTTTTTTAACATTCTAGGGATTAGAATTTTGATTTATAATATGACATTTTCAGTCAAAGCCAGCATTTAGGAAAACAATCTGCATTACAGAGAAGTCTTTATGCTCAACCATAGATTCTTAAATCTTTATTTCTAGAAAGGAAGAATTTATACTTAGAAATACATGCAATGATCATTAATAACAACATAGATTTTGCCTAGATGAGAATGGAAATTACTTCTCCGTTTTGTGACATATCAAATTGATCCTTTATAAACTCTTACATAAAGAATATAACCATGCTAGGACTCCTGAAGCCCAAGCACAGAATCTTCTGTCTGAACCTGTGTTAGCATAAGAGACTCTATCACCAGAACCTGTTTTCCTTGGTGTGAAGCATTAACCTCGAGCGGCTTATTCCTGGAAGCTAACACGGTTTCAGCAGATTTGTGACTGGGCACTTGTGTTGGCACCTAGCATTCCACTTGGATCTCTGCTGCCCGGCAGCCGTACGATGGGCCGCATTTCACGGGTGCTGCTTCATAAAGCTGAGCTGGTGACATCCTTAATTTCCTCAGTTACGTTGCCGGATTTTACAGGGTCTCTTTTTTCTCTGCAGTTTATATTGGCCCATCATGTCTCAAGTTCTGTTCTGGCAGAGGACAGTGCACGCGGCACGGCTGCAGGTAAGCATTTGGCCTAAGATGCGTGTTCCTCTGGTTGATGTGTGCGTTTGAGGTGCTGAAGCCACCAGACCTTTGTTTTTAATACCCTTGTTAGGCTCCCTCTTTCTCCTTTCTTCAGTTCTGGAGGCCGACCCCAGCACATTCACACGGAGATATGTGCCTAGACCTTTTTATTTTTTTTAATTTTGAGTGAATGTCTTGCTAGCCACTGATAACCTGAGGTGGGCTTCAATCTGTAACCCTTCTGTCTCAGCCTCCCAGCGTGCCAGGATTATCGGCATGTATCACCACTGCTGGCATTTTTTAAAATCAAAAATACGATACTGCAAATAGAATTTAAGTGTAACTTAAATGTATTTTGTAGGTGAACATTAGTTAATAAATAAATATATATCAAACTAACCCATAACAAATTTAGTATCCCTCATGTAAATTCGTGAACAAATTTGAATTCCTCGTGGCTGAATGGGTACTTTCCTGTCTTCAGTTACATTCCTTTCTGTAACCTTGTTCTAGTGTGCATGAGCAATATAGTTAATATCTAGAATACCTTGTAAATTATTAAAAATGAGCAGTGATTAAAAAATGCTAAATGAAACTGGATCAGGACAAATTAGCAAATCTAATAAGAAAATTCATTATCTTTAAGTATAACTTCATGATCTTATGTTTACTTCTGAAAATCATTTGGGTCTCAGAAATGATTATATTTTACTGAACAATAATGTTGAACATGAAGCCTGAACTTAATAATGAATATCAAGTCGCCACTAATGAATTGTGTTCTGCTCATTCCAAGAATGGATGTATACATTTATTATGTCTTTCCCATATTAATATTTAATTATGAAACACTCTTGGAATTCCTGAGGCAAGGCAGTCTTTGTTATACAGATAAGTTTTCAACAGCTCCAAACACAAATAGTCCTCAGCTAATTAGGTAATTAATGAATAGAGAACTTATAAGAGGGTTTTGAACCTGATTATTTGAAAACTAAATACATAAACACTCAGGTGTACTGTGATTAGAGTGGAAGGTTAACTTCTTAAACTATATTTTAATGAGCTTAATTTTAAAAAATCACTGCGCAATGAAAATGTTTTGTAAAGTATGTGAAATATTGAAAAGTTTGTTTATATTTGAAACTGAATATAAAGCTCCATACTTTTTAATGAAACCACCGACTCCCCCCCCCCAGAACGCTGACTCTTCAGATCTCTGAAACTGGCTATGCTGCTTCAAGTCGCTGTCTTTGCCTTTAACCAGACCCAGGCTGGTCACTTGTTTACTGCATTTGACAAAAATTAACACAAGAGAACTCTGAATGGAAGTTGAGTGCTTTCAGTCATCATTCCCTTTGATACTACCCACCATCCTGAATAATCATGGCCCTTTACTCTTCCTGAAATTTTACAGAATATTTTTGTCCCTTGGAAAGGTAGTATCTTTCCATACTCTGATGCAGTATTCATTGGCTTTGTTCTGCAGTGGCTCGCCTAAATTTTTGACCATTACTTCTTTTTCCAGGAATGTGCGCCTTGTTGAGTTTGAGCAAAATTGCAGAGAAAAATTTAAATTCAGTGCTGTGTGTTTCCATTAAGCAGATCTTTGAATTAGGGCCTCATCAGTTTTGTGTTTCTCCCCATCTCGCTCCCTTCATTATACACTGTCTGCTGCCATGATCCCGTCCCCTTCTGCTCCCTAATATTTTCTTGACTGTGTTCAGCCTCAGACCTGGCTTTCCAAACTGACAGTTCACTCACGTCGTAAGCCTGACCCTGACAGAGATGCTAATGAGGAGAGAGAGTAGCATCCTCCATTCACAAGTGCGGTCCATGTGTCTTTGCAATGGAGGCTGTTTTGCTACATAGTGGGTGAATAAAATGCTGCATGTAAAGGTAGGGAGATGAACTAATAGGGGACATATCTGCAGTTGGAAGATCCTCCTGTCATTCCTGAAATCACAGTGTGTACAGCCCTACTATTTGAGTCAAAAACAAGGCTACAAAAATGTTTTTTAAAAATGAATGGAATCGTTATCAGCATTCTATCCAAATTGTATAATCTTTTATTACAGGCAAATTTTCTAAACCACCGGATGGGACTTGATTCCAATGTCCTTCATCTCTAAATGGCCACTGATTTGCCTTGTCACTAGTTCTGAGAGGACACATGTAAGATACACAAAAAGAATGTGGTTACCTTGGTATACATTCTGGCAATATTGTTGGGGAGCATAAATTTCAGTTTATTATCAGTGCTAACCACAGCCGGCTTCCTGACTTTAAAAATGTGTCCGTGTTAGCTGATTTTGTTTATCCTTTCTGGAAGCCATGTGGCTGTTGAAAATCTTTGTCTGGGAGGTCACGTGTGAAAGCAGCAGACTGTTCGAGGCTCGTTGCCATGTTCGGGCATTACTGACTTTCCCTCTGCTTCTGTAATGTTGCTTGTGATGTCAAACCAACCTTCAGACTTCTCTCTCCAGGAGTTCTTGGCATTTTGAGGTCCAACTTCTTTGATAATCTGGTGAAAACTGTAGACCTTTTCCCCCAGAAAATCTAGTACACATACATCTTGCATTTGATTTCAACACTTTCACACATTCCCAGGAGGCCGGCACAGAACCAGAGTCAGAGTCACTGCTAAAGAAGTTCCCGAGTCACCTGTCTCCTGGCACTCTTTCACTTGCCTTGTGAAAGGCCCCTTTCAGACCTCAGCAAGTTTGAGTGTTCTCATGACAATCCCTGGCCCAAAAAGAAACTAATTTCACTTTCTAGTGGGCAACATATAGTGAGAAAGAAAGAGAAAAGTAAAAATAAACAATTTAAAGCTAATTCTCTGGTTTTCAACTGCTGTTCCTATCTGTGATGAAATCGTGTCTTGGTTGGCTAACCCAAATACCTCAATACGACTCCTGCTCACCCCACAAGCAGGACTGGGGACATGAGCCAAGCTGCTCCTCCCAGAAGCACGACTACTCTGGAAACCTGTTGGGAGGCAAAACAGCTGAGTAAGGACTTCTGTCCTAGGTGTGCTAATTCCCTTTATAGTTCCAGAGCAGGCAGAAATGCTGCAGGACAGACTTGTTCCCCAGTAGTTTCCAAGTATTTAAACCGATTCCTATAACAATGTGTATTTTTTACATTGGTTCCTAATGGAAACTTGTAGATATCTTATTGAAAGTATTTATTTATGTTACTTATTTTATAAGTTGAGTGAGATTGTGATTCAAATTACATACATGGAACAGATCTTTGCAGAGATTTTGACTTACGGGCAATGCATTTTAGATAAACTGGCATGTCTGAGGTGAGAGCTGAATTAACTTTCCACAGGAGGGATGGGCAAAGACTGTGTTCTTCTGGAATATTCACGGTCTATCACACTTTATCAAGTTTCAAGCTTGACATTCTCTAAAGACTAGCCTTAGCCTCATGGATCATTCAGTCAAGCTCTGGCCTCTAGACTTCTCGCCAAAGCAGACTAAGGAATCTCTGAAAGGATCAGAGCATGAAGATTGAGATTCACGTTGCTTTCTTTCAGGTGCGATCCTGGATTTTCTGGCCCTGCTTGTGAAATGGCATCCCAGACATTCCCAATGTTTATTTCGGAAAGCTTTGGCAGCTCCAGGCTGTCGTCCTATCATAACTTTTACTCTATCCGCGGTGCTGAAGTCAGCTTCGGGTGTGGCGTCTTAGCCAGCGGTAAAGCCCTGGTTTTCAACAAAGACGGGAGGCGCCAGCTAATTACATCCTTCCTGGACAGCTCGCAATCCAGGTGTGTGCTGACAAGGTAGAATGCATGCACAAACCAGATACAGCTGCTGAACTTGGACCTGTTTTCAATTTGCATTGTTTTTCTTTTGCAATGACATGTACATCTTACAGTTTCTAACTGGGGTGGAAGGGCACTTGCAGTTTACTTAAAGTAATTCACTCTAGTTTTTAATGAATTTGAAAGCTCACCAGTGATTGAGATACTAATGACTGACTTGAGTTTTTAAAATGTGAGATGTTTGCAGCAAAACTGTGTTCTCAAGCCAAAGACTAGTTAATTATTCATGTAGTTGTATTTATTTGACAGCTTGCAGAGGCTGATTAGATTTACCCCACATCTTCCCTTCCCCCCGCACCTAATAAATAATGCAGTAAAGGAGTGATTGGCATTCTAACTGTACGTACACAAGTACATAGTACACAGATAGCTACGAACATACTTCTCCTTCTATGGATGCTTCTGTATATAAAATATGCACATTGACCTCATCTTTTATACATAGGCATGCATCTCACAGTGATGCTACTAACAGTTTATAAAAGAAAAATGAGTGCAAAGCTACGTGTTTGGGGTAGTTCACTAAAATTTGTTTGAAATTCTCTTACAACAAAAATGAACTTTATGAATAAAAATTTACACACACTAATTACAGACAATCCCCATCTAGGTTTCTCCAGTTCACCCTGAGGCTGGGGAGCAAATCTGTTCTGAGCACATGCAGGGCCCCTGACCAGCCTGGCGAAGGAGTTTTACTGCATTATTCGTATGACAATGGGATAACTTGGAAACTCTTGGAACACTACTCATATCTCAACTATCACGAGCCCAGGTACGTTGGAAAGCATTTGGGAAGACAAGTTAGCGTGACGCATCCTTCCTAGCAAAATTGTGATTTAAATAGTGTAAGATTCTACATATTTTTCTGTTGAGAGACAGAACAAGATTGGTGTGTCTTGCCATGAAAATCTAGCAAATCACACATTTTTAATCTGTCCCACTGCTTTCTGATAATTTGAAGAAATTTAGCCTCACATTTTGGCATGTGCATTTAAGGGAAATACTTTGGTGCTTAGGAAAAAAATAGTTAACACTTTTTATTTAACTATAATGCAAGCTATTAGATATTATCTTCATATGACACTAAATTATAAAAGCTGTTAAATATTTACTAGCAATGTTGTTATAAGTTTTATGGGATAATTATAAAATCTGGTACCCAGTATGTTTTGAAATTTTGCATGTATTATAATTGTATAATTAGTGCAAAAAAATTGCTAGTATTTACCTAGTCCCTGGAAAAGATGGGCATGAGGAAATGTAAAGTCTTTTCTTCAGGCTTCTGTTTTCCTTTAGCTTATATATTTCCTGACCTATGGACAGAATTGTCAGATTAAAATTTTACTTGAAGGGAAGGCCACCCTTCAGTATCAGCAGAATAGTAATCACCCATAGTGACAGAATTTCACAAGTATCTGAAAGATATTCTCACCTTCTGACCAAGGAAGGGGAGTGAGAAATCTCAAAATTAGGATAATAAGTTAAATACCATTAAAGAAGGTGAACAGGGGTTTACATTCTCAGTGGCATACAAAGAGCTAACACCATTTCCCTTTCTGGAAGCACTTTTAGTCATTGGAAAGAAAGAAGGGGCTTCGTTCATGTTTGCACTGGCATCCGGGAAAAAGACAGGGCTCAAAGAGTGGCAAAGAGCACCGATACACTTCTCATGGTTTGCATTTTTGCCTCAGGACTCCTTTTTATTTAAATATTTGTAAACAGATGGTAACTTTCATAGAAAACATAGTAGCTTGTAGTAGAAAGAATAATTAATAACTACTATGACCTAAATTTTATGCATTATGAAATTTTAAGGATGTATCCATTGTGTTGAATGTTTTCCTTATTCTTGTAAAAATGTAAAGCTAAATTCATCTTTCTCAGTAGAGATACATGAGCCCTAAAGAATGTCTCATAAACTATCAATAGTAAACACTAAAAGAAAATTAATACAATTTAAGATGGTATTGAAAGCATTAAAAAAAACCCATTCTAAGTTAACTTGGCCTAAGGCCCATTTTTTTTTCTGACAAGAATGAACAGCTGCAAAATTCAGTAATCAATCAATATCATGAAATTTAATTAATCTTTGTTGATATGAAAAATAATTATACATTTAGAGTGCGATTTCTAAGGTATGTTTCATCTTGCCACTTGACAGCAACGTTTTTCTCCGAAGCAGAATCAAGGTGGCTTTTCAATATTAGGTATGTGCATAGCTTGGAAGATTAAGATCAGAGTGGAGATTTTTTCTTTTTGCAAAGGAGAACATGGTAATGGTAGAAATTCATTTTCTAAATATGTATCTCAGTCCATGAGACACATCCTCCCTCACTCTCTCTTACAACTATTAATAAAAGGTGACATGCAGAAGTAGAATTTGATATATTCTAAATACTAAATTATATTCCGTATGATAAATAATACAAACCATGGAGATTCTCCCATAAAAGTTAAATATACCCTGATGCCTTTAGCCGTTTGCTGTATTCCCACAGTATAAATTGCTGCCTGTAATTAGTATGAATTCCACACTGTCCCTTGATGCCATGTTGTGTGAAAATGGAGCACAATCCATTAATAGATCTGCTAGTTGGCTAGCCACTATTTCACTTAGATAATTTCAGATAATTTGCCTGTCTATGGTTCATCCCATAAATGAACTCTCTGTGCTTGCTATTTCTAAAATTTAAAGTCTAGTAGTGCATCTTAGTCTTTTAATTCAAATTGACTAGAATGACTCGTGAACTAATTGGTACTTTTGTTGATGTAAAATATTATATCATGTGGAGACTAATATTATTCTAGTGTTTTCTTAATTATAGGGATTTTATGTTCTAAAATTATTACAGTTAACTACAAGTCTTAGTTTATTTTATGTCTTGATTTTTGTATTTGAGCTTCTCCTTGTTTCTGCATCCAATTCTGTATAATTAGTGAATATCTTCTTTTAAAAATACATGCACTTAATGTGTACTCACAGAAGGAAGGCTGAAACAGGGTTCCTATCTAGTAATATTCTAAGCAAACAGCACTATAGCTACCCTAACAGTCAGTATGATTTGCACAACATAAGAAAGTCAGCAGAAAGTCCCACCCTACCCCCAAGACATGATACAGAGGTTATGAACAAGACTCTAGAACTAAGTGCCATATGACCAAATTCTGGAATTGTCACTTAGAATCTCTTCACCTTAGAAAGAATTCTGACCATTCTGTGCCTCTGTATTCTCATCTCCATCCGGGGAATGCTGATAATTGTACTTAATGCAGCAAGCATTTGCAGAGTCCTTGTTATGTACTGACTTAGGTACCAAGTAGAAAACAGACAAAATGTCCCTGACCCTTGCACAAGATCCCAGTTTAGTGCTGAGATTCTGGAGAATCTTTCCTGTGGCTGCAAAGTCAACAACCACTGCGTTTCAGAAGGGGGTCTGATTATAGACCTGCGGTCTTAACTTCTCGGCCATGAAAATCTTGGATCACTTTAATTATGCTATCATGTGCATATACTCTGTTTACATTAGACCTTTCATTAGAATTCTATTTTCAGCTGCTATTTAATTATATTTATTTTTACCAGAGAGAAAATCAGCTGCTTTTAAAATTATTACCAAAAGGATAATTACAATCTTGTAATAACAGTACTAATTAAATGTATTAAGTCAGTTTTCATTGTTGAACCAGTTCAAATGTAGATTAATTGTTTTATTCAGTTTTCATTTATTAGTATAGAGGAACATGTGAATGCATTTAATAAATATTTTTAACAGTTAAAGTGAAAATTACTAAAATACTTAATTTAAGCTTTATTCTCCTAATAAAATCCATTAGTAAAAAATTTAGCTGATTGTAGAAAATATTTAAAAATCATAAATGCACCAAGCAAAAGTTTTAGTTTAAGAAATTTTTTAAATTTATATTTCAGTACAAACATATACTAATTTTAAAAAAGGGAAAACAAAATCGCTTCTAAAAGTTGCAAGTTAACTAAAATTAAAGTTTTTGACAGTATTTTATTATGCTTTAAGAGAATAACAAAAGACATATTTACTTCTCTGGCATTAGGATAGAGTGATTAGCATTACTGTCTTCCATATTTACTTCTCTATGTTAAAGTAACCATAATAAAATACAACTGAAAAATTTTAAGTGATATTTCTGCATTTGCATATTGATTTTCTAATATTTAAAAAATGCTTTCTCACATTGCAAAAAGTTCTGCCACATTCTACTCTTTGTATGACCAGTGGTCATGGTCATGTTCTTCTATCCCCATGTAGCCACCTACAAATTGTTTAAGAGGGAAAAATATTATTTTAATTTGAGGTATAAGAAATTACCTTCTTACATATGTGGTTAATATAGCTTTTACATATGAAGATACGAAAATCAACCTAATGTCTCAGGTAACCAACTGTGGAAGTTCAATCTTTTAAATAACTTATTTCCAAGTTACCCAACCAGTCACTTGGCTTAGGGAGTTTCTTTTTGCTCAGGAAGAGAACAAAAAAGCATCAGTCCATTCGATGTGCACGCGCCGTGAGCACCTCTCCTGGAGTTTAATTGGACATTGATGGAGACAAATGTCCCACTTGCTGCTTCCATCGCATCTCCCCTTGTACATGGATGCGAGCAGCATGGCTCGGTGATTTATGGAGCTTTCAAGCAGATGTCATCGCGCTGGCAATTAATGCGCGCTTCCTGCTGCTGTGTACAATAATTGGTCCTCGAAATTAGACATTATTCTTAATTTTCTTCCCCATTTGTCAGACACGGGTTTGTTGTCATAGCTGCCATGACATAGCAAGTGACCAGTGCATACTGCGTTGAAGTCATGGGAAGGAGGAAGGACCAAGGCCCCAGACGCTCTCAAACTATGATACATGTGAACTGAGACGAGTCCTGCCACTTTGGCGGCTATGTCATTGAGTTCACCATCTTGGAAACACATCAGTGAAAGGACAGTCAGTCATTAGAGTCAGTTAGGAGTATTTATAATTGTAGAACTCTTTTAATACTATACTTTGAGAGGGAGGAGCTATCTTGCTGTAGATGGAAGTATTTTAAGACACCGAAGTAACCTGAATTTTAACTTTCTTTTCCTCTAGAATCGTCTCCGTGGAACTACCAGATGACGCGAGGCAGTTTGGGATTCAGTTCCGATGGTGGCAGCCCCATCACTCCTCCCAGGGAGAGGACGTGTGGGCTATCGATGAGATTGTCATGACGTCTGTTCTGTTCAACAGCATCAGCCTTGACTTCAGCAATCTTGTGGAGGTCACGCAGTCCCTGGGCTTCTACCTTGGCAACGTTCAGCCCTACTGTGGCCACGACTGGACCCTGTGGTAAGGATGCCATTGCTGTCATGGTTTCCTGTGAAAGCCTGGAGCGTGAAGCAATGTTCTTCATCTGTCGACAAACATTTGCTGAACATGAACCATTTGAAAAGTTATGTCCTTGTTATTATGTCTTGGAAGAGAGAACTAGAAAGAAAATAGTGATATATTTAAATAAATACAAAATTTCATATTCATTAACCTCAAATTTTGTTTCCACAGTTAAGCACTTTTCAAAAGAAATAATTAAAGTGATCACTGTATTCTCCTTTCTTGGGGCCCTGTGTCAGCCATAGTGAAATGCAAAAGCACTCTTGTAACTGTTTTTATTAATATTTTTGCAGTTTTTTAAGTTAGTATTTTAGTAAAAAATTTTAATAGTTCTATTTTCATGACATTTCACATGAAGTCCAAAAAGTTTTCTAAGCCTTTATTAACTGAGATGTCCTTTTAAATCCATACTATCAAACAACATTGAGCTGGTGACTCATAATGCATGCCAGTAGGGTTTTAGATCATAGGACCCTAATTGAGTATTCTTTTAGTTTTAGATTTTTTCCCTATGGTCATATGTACATTTAGTTATACAGCAAACATAAAAAAATAATTTCAACTGTAATTAGTACTTCAAAATGTCAATCAGATGATACAGCAGTGATTAACTAGGGTAGGGATCTGGCTACTTGACATAGGGAACTCCCAAGAGTGTCCCATAGGAGACGGCTTTGGGATCATTCAGACAGGGGATATGATACATTCCACAGATTAGCCAGGGGGAAATTGTGGGGCTGCTTACCTGTAATCCCAGCCCTCTGGGAGGCTGAGGCAAGACATCACAAGCCAGAGCACAGACTGACAACTTAGCTACTTGGTAATACCCTGTCTCAAAATAAAATATTTTTCAAGATCTGTGAAAGTCACTCTTTAGGAAGGCCCTGGGTTCATTTCCCTGCAAGGGAGGCCTGGGGCAGAAGAGGAGGTTCCAGCTATATGGCCATCTGGAAGAGTAGAATTCCAACTGTGGGAAACGTTAACTACAAAGGCCCTACATCAGGAATGACCATGGTGTGTTCAAGGACACAAGGCTAGTGGTAGTGGTGTGGCATCCTAAGTAGTAACGACACAGAAGTCAAGGATGGAAGCCCAGAGATGTTCTAGAGACTCGGTCATATAGCATCTTCCAGCCCTGGAGATCCTATAATAAAATTCAGGTCTCAGAATTCAGTCATACTGTGGCCATGACCTTCACTACCATGCAACTGCAGCCTCTCTAGGTTCCTTTAGAACTGCAAACATGACTGAGGGATACTTCTTTAAAGGACTTCCATTGAGTCATGGTCAGACCAACTTAATTTCTCCAGATGAATCCCACTGAAAGTTCTTCACCACCATTGTCTCCAAAGAGCATATCATGAATGACCCAGCGGGGACCTTATCATAATTAGAGGTAAATTTTACACACCACTGCACAGAAAATTACCTTTGATGGGAATTGTGCACGTATAGTCACATCTCACACACAGCAGGCTAAAATTCTAACATCAAAATGACAGCTAATGGAATGGCAGTGCAGCTGGTCATTTTTGCTGCAAGCATGTCAGACTAGACAGAATGAAATTTCTGTTCAACAAGGTAGGAAGGATTATAGTGTACATTTTTCTATCTGATAGGTTCAGCTGCTTACTTTTATGGAAGGTTTTTCTTTGTCATCCAGCCTCCAAAGAAAATAAATTGGGGAAGCAAATAAGAAGATATAAAGATATGGACTAAGATGAGATTTATTAGAATTTCATGCTTCTGGAAACTTATATTGACCTGAATTAACAGTTATTCAAATTGGTCATGTACCATAAACCATATCCCGCAAGTTTATGCAGTAGGGCTTGTTTTGTTCAGCACTTTTGACAGCACTTATGACTCTTTGACAACAAAGAGTCATATCATGGATTCAAGTCCTGTATCATGTTTATTTTCATAAACAGTTAACATCTGCTCAAATAAACTCCAAAGTTGCTGAGCATTTTAATTTAACACTTGGGTTGAATGCATGATAACAGCAGTTTACATTCTGTGCTTTGATCAAAACCCTGAGAACAATATCCTTTCACACAAGTCTGATGAATATTCTTAACCCACCACTGCTTTAATTGGTGGAGATACATTTACTTTGTGAAAGTACAATCACAGTAATTATAGAAAACCATAAGAAAATACAAATAATTGTACAATCCCCACAGGCACCTTCAGCAGCCCCGGAGGAGTTTTATTAACAACCACATGTGAGCAATCAGGTTCAACTTTCTGATCTTCTCTGAAACAAAAAAGGAGTTGTCCCGCTCCTGAATCAACAGAGCGGTTTCTCAGGCAGTAATAATGAGACTAGAGAAACGCATTCACTGTTTTAATAAGGACGTGAAAAATGCTCACTGCTCGTTTAAATGAAACTACACAGACGATCTCAAACTGTTCCCATTTTCTCAGTCAGTGAGTCAGAATAAAACCCCTTTTAATGATACCGTTTTCTCTCTGCCACTCTTGAGAAGTATGTTGTCCAAAATTAAATGTAAATTTTCTTCAGCCGTGGTTTTCAGAAGGGATGATTACAACATTGAAATTCAAATAGTGATGGTGATCAAGTATTTATTATAACCTCCAAGTCCTAAAGCAAGCTCTTAATGTCCAATGTAAAAAAAAAAAATCTTTGGAGCGTATTATCTTATTAAGTGAAAATTCTTTAAACACGTTTAAATGTACGGCCTCTGCCTTTCAGTGACCTTCTTTCTCCCAAGAGACCCGTAGACATGGTCTGCACCGAGTGGCGGACGCTAAGTTAATCATCGCTGGCTCTTTCCAGCTGTGAGTTCATTTGGCTCTCATTTTCTAGCTCATGACTTTCCATGAGCGTGGGTTGTGGTTGCGGAGAGTATTCTCCAGGGAAACCTTGGACAATTGCTTTTTCATTAGAAAAACTACAGTCAATATGCTGTAAATCACTTTCCGGCGTGTCATCCTTGAGTGCTTTTTTTTAAAGAGAGAAATGAATTGCTTTTTAATGCTTGGTAATACTTCTGTTTTTTCCATAGTATCAAAAACAGGACATCTGCCTGTTCTGGGTTTCAAGAACAATTTTATATTGTTAATGTTATCACTATATGATCATTAGGGGAATAATTTTAGTTAAGATTTATTAAAGATTTTATCTAAGGCCGTTGGTGACAACAACAGGTATCTTAGTTACTTTTCTCATTGCTCACACAAAATACCTGACACGCGAATTTAAACGAGAGGTTCATTTTGGCTCACATTTGTGGAGATTTCAGTCCATAGTTGGCTGCCTCCAAGGCCCAGGAGAAACAGCTCGTGGTGGGCAGGAAGCAGCCGAGCATCGAGGCAGTGAAACAGTGAAGTACCAGCAGCAGCGGCCTCCCCTCTTCATCCTTTCCAGGCCTCCTGCCCTTTGGGTGGTGCCCCCACCCAGGCTGAACCTTTCCATTGTCCGCACTTAGCACTATGGCAAGCCAGTCGGTGGGTCATTCAGTAATCCCAGCCTCGCGACTCACTCCCAGCATTGCATACCCTAGATCCAGCCACCTCTGAAAAGTGCTTCCTGTGACCTCATCAGGCTTTGGGGGGACATCTAGATGTAAGCCAAGGGACACTAGCATTCTTCTGTCCTAGCTGATAACCTACATACAACAGCTGGGAGGGCTATTGCTGTCATATAGACTTTTGGTATTAAAATGTGTACAATTGTGAGGGGTAATTGTTATATTAAGATTGGCGATTGTTCATAGCAGTTACAGTGTGATAGAAATATAAGCTTTGAGGTCATAAGCCTGAGTTCTAATTCTGACACTTGTAAGCATGGAAAATAAAAGAAAGACATTTTTAACTGATAACCATTATGTTTTAGTTGAGCTCTTTTAAGAAGATTGCATCATAGCAATGCAATCAAAAGAGGAAATAACTGAATTTTGTTACTAACTAACGTGCAACAGACGCCCCTCACTTCCAACTTCTAGCTACCATCCCGTCTTCTCCTTCAGCCGTCCTTGACCAATGCCGCCTCCACCTCTTATTCCAGCTCTAACCAGTCCCGCTGCCTGCCCCTCGCTGCGCTGCCAGCCCCTCGTAGGCTGGGAGTTGAGCACAGAGTGAGGATACCAGTCTTGTGCATTCTTTCACGTTTCTAGACAATGATGTTGGAGTGGTTTCATTTCTGATTCATCAAACATATAACCCTTTATCAAACAGTAACACCGAAAGTTCAGGGAAGTGTATTTAGCTTCTTTGATCGTGAGCTTTTAATCTATAAAGTGGCTCAGTAATACCTACTTCCAAGACTCGTGTGAAGAATGAGTTTGCAGACAGAAAGTACCTACCAATTCCAATTCCTTCACTGGCTGAAGGGAAGAAAACTGGTATCTGTAGTGTTGGTTTTAGGTCCACATTTTGGGAAACTTTCTTGAACGTTAAAGGCTAATAAATATCATTTCGCTTGAGTGATGCAAAAGGAGAGGTGTCTGAACCTTAATGAATTCAAAATATATTAAGATTTTTCTCATGTAAACTAGATTTGGTTGGGAAAAGAGAAGGGTAATGGAGATTACATTTGTTTTTGTTAGTACCAAACATCGTTTCTGTAGACTGCATTCCAGCAACACTAAGCATGTTATTGTAGATAAGATTTTGTGAATGGTGGGTAACAGGTTGGCAGGAAATCCCAGACAGAAAAGACCCAAAAGCCCTGTTTATTTCATAATTTAACTTCTATACAGTTTATTTACAATGCAAAGATAAGGGAGAAAGGACTGGTCCTGTGATTTGTTGAAAGAGAAATTTAGTATTCTGAGTCAGCTGTTGCCTGTGAAGTGCAGATCACCAACCCCCTTTGGTAGGTGCTGAGACTCTGCAGGGCGACCCTCTTCAACCTCTGCCTCTGCCTGGCGCCTTTCACTCAGTTGTCACAGTCACGACTTCCTCCTCCTCCCCCAGCAAGCCAAGTTCCT